AACAAACATGTTTCCATATGCTGTGTAGCCATAGCTTTGTTTTCAGATTCATTTACTCTTATATTCAACCCCCCCCCACCCGCTCTGGTCCTGTGCTAATTCTGGATTCCACTGTTTTTGGTGAACCTGGTGTTCCTATTTTCCTTACCAGCCAGATGGTCCACACTCTTCTCCCTACTTGCTTTCTCTCATTGATTCATTCTCTCTCTCTCTCTCTCTCTCTCTCTCTCTCTCTCTCTCTCTCTCTCTCTCTTTCATCTCTCAGGTAATGAGTTTACTGGGATGGTCTCACTAGAGTGACAAACATAAGTGTCCTGTCACAATAACTCAAGAAACATTTACATTAAATGTTTGTTTCAGGAATCCAGGGTGAATTAATTACTGCCCTGGTGTAAAGTCAAGAAGAATGTCATGGCAGTACCTTGAGGCTGATTACTCTTAATGACTTTTAGTTATTTTCATTTCTCAGAAGGTGGGGTAATATATAAAGTTATAAATGAAAAACTGCCATCTTGATCTTTTACATCAATCAAAAAATACAACACAAATAAATTACAAACAATTTTTGGTAGAATTAACCAAATTAATTAATAGAATTAACATTAATAGAAAAAAAAGAACCATAGTTAAACTCTAAATCTAGTTCGAAAGAAAATTATCCTTAATTGTAAATAGACGAGGCTTGGGCAATGGTGGAACCTCAGCCTAAGAGGAAATGGCTGAAACTAAATGTGAAGAAGTCTCAGAATTGATATCGCTAGGGTAAAGAGATTAAATAAATGGTGGCATTTGGCCAGGAAACAGCAGTGTGGCAGCTGGATTAGGTACTAGCTTCTAAACAAAGAGAGAATAAAGGCTGGGGTCCAAGACAGATGCAGGCAGAGAAAGGCTGCCAGTTGAAATGAGGAAATTGACTGGTTGGCCAGAGAAGGAAGAAGCAGCCGAAACCAGGAATCAGAAGTTGTTGGTTGTCCAGAAAAGAAAAGGGCACTGGTACCCAACTTACGCTCTCCGGGAAGGAAAAGGTGATTGGCTCCAAGTTCAGAAAAGGCCCTAGAATCTGAATTCATTTTATAATTGGTTCTCTATGTTTCTCTTTTGCTTCTTAGGCTTAACATTTTCTACTTTCTTTTGAATACGTGGTTGTGGTAGAAGTTTCCTCAAATTTTGTGGAGTGGATACTCTATAACAAAGAATGGTATTTGATTTCTCTTCGGCCACAGTGTGCACACACAAAAAACTTACGTCACTTTTCTTTCATTAAAAACTAAGTTAAATTTTGGGTTTTGCAGAGGTATCCAAAATAGAGTATGTTTTGGGGGTGCAAAATTGATAAAGGAAATCACTATCAGCAGCTTTTCCACAGTCATTCAACCTCAAAATGCCTTTGGCTCTGAGAGTAGTAGTTGCTAGACTTTGGGTCCTTTCCTTTTTCCAGTCCCATCCCCCACCTCCTTCCCTGGGCCTTAGAATTCAAATGTAGATGAAATGCAGATTCTTGGGATAATGGAAGCTGCCACCGATTGGGCTGTAGTCTGAGAAAAGGGGAGAACTTCTAGTTTAAGTATTAGTTCTTGTTCTGCCAAGTTGGAAACAGCTTTGACTTCTGATTTGAAAAGTCTTATCTTGAGTGGAACTGATTTTCACCTACCAATCATTCAGATACATTTGGAAAAGGAATAAACTGGTTTATGCTGGTCACCACCACGGGCTTACAACAGGTAAGAGTTGAAGCTTACTGCTCATAGATGTGTAGTATTTTAATCACATCATCTTGCTTGTTGACTGCTTCGATAATCTTTGAGATTCATGGATTTTACTAGTATATACTATCGTGTTTCATGTATTTTTGTACAATGCAGACTTCTATCTTGATGTGCTTAGGGAATGTGATTTCACTTCTATTCTCAAGTTCCTGAAGAAGTACTCTCACAGCACCCACACATGTGGTTGTGGTAACTACTGCAAAACTTCACTATTTTATAAAAGGGGGCATCAATTCAAAGCCATTAAATAATCTTGGACATACTTCTATTATGAGCACTGATAAAATGTTGTTTATATAAAAAAAGTGGGGGAAGAAAGCAGAATTTGCTTAAAAGACAAATTGAACTAATGAAATAAAATATAAACATAAGCAAAATTGCATTCAATAAAACTGGGTGTTTCAGGTGGAGGGCAGATGAGAGGAGGAACAAAGGGGACTTGATCAATATCTCAGTCACTAGTTGTGTACCTTAGTACCAGTCTCCTCGACCAGTGTTCTTAATTAACATGGAAACCAACTAATTATTGAAGAGAGGTAGTTGGAGCTGAGCTTGGGAGAATACTTTACTTCTGCTTTGTTATGGAAGTGACCTCTACCCTGTGTATACACTCTTTTAATGTTGAGGAATAATCATAGCATCATAAATAAGCATCAGGATTAAAGGTCCATGTAAATTGATTTTTTTGGAATTAACTTTTTTAGGCTGTAATTCCCTCCCTCACTCCTTTTTTTTCTTTTTTTTCCACAATGGGAAAGGTCAACTTACCCGAGGATTGTATCTATCTCAAATGTACTAGCTTAACAAGTATTGTTATTGTGGGGATCTTTCTACCCTTGTTTCTTCCTCCTTTGGTAACAATGGTAGTATTGGAGATTTTAGAGATTATATATTTAACATTACAGTCCATTAAGCACATAGTGGAGCAACTTGTGGATGCTTAAATTCTATGCTTTTGGTGGCCATGAGAAAAATAATACATGTTTATTTTTATATTTATATCAGTCTATCCTTGTATATAGGTTTATATGTGAGATGTGTCTGTCCATTTTAGATTGAAGATCCCCCCTTTTTTTGAGGATCCCTTTTTTAAATATTTTATTACGCTTGTGTAATTTCTTAAAAACCATCTCTGCACTTTATTTTTGAGTAGAGTGCGCTGTTTTGAGACTTGGCTGATAAAGTCATAGTCCTTGCCTTCTAGGAGCTTACAACTTACGTTAGTGAATTTGTGTGTAGAGAGACAATTACCAAATGCAGCAAATAATGAAATCAAGAGGAGGGAATTGGCTGGGCCATCAGGAAAAGAGGCAGATCTTGAAAGAGCCTTGACAAAAGTGGTGGGGACTTTGTGATTCTGTTGTTCTGTTGTAAGAGCATTTGATAACGGGAATTGGATGTGTGCGTAGCGGACTTTATTCAGAGCACTGGAATTCCAACTTATTGAACAAGAACTTACTTTGTATGTAGAGAATGGTGCCAGGGCTGGAGAGTCAACTGTGAAGATGAGATCTGTGAAGTCATAGTCTTGAAATGGACATGGGAGAGAAGAGTGGACAAAAGAGCTAAAACACGGCGGTAAGGGCTGCAGTGAAGCAGCCTGAGTGCTCAGGAGCCGCTGGAGAGGGAGTAGGTCATTTTGCCCTGGAAGTCAGAGGAGACTTTTTTTTTGAGGTGACGTCGGAGCTAGAGTTTAAGGTTGAAAGGTGGCATTCCAAGGAATTGCAGGTAGAGGCACCGGCATGAAGAAAATGGTGATTCGACTTGAAGTGACTAAAGAACAAGTGTTGTGATCGTTCGTGGGCGTGAGGAGGGCAGAAAGTCAGCGGGGTTGTGGGAAGCCTTGTAGTTCAACTGTATTTTGGGGGCACTATCGAGTGAGGTTTTAGGAAGAAAGCTGGTGGAGGAGCCTGGTGACCAGGAGGTCGGTTAGGAACTGCAGCTAGGTAGAGCACCAGGAACCGCGTGGCAGGAGAGGATGCACTGGGGGGAATGTAGGATTTGATGATGGTGGTTTCCAGGTGTAGGGGTGGGAGGGGATGGGAACCGTCTCTGCAATGCCCCGGGAAGCTCCGCGGCATTCAGCAGGACGCTTTGGAGTTGCTGTTAGGGAGAGTCGGGCCAGGAAGCCCCTTCCTCACTCCGCACGGACAGGGGAACGTCCAGTCTCCCGCCAGGTGTGCGCTGGAGGCTGGCCTCGCGGGCCGCCCCCACTTTGCCCATTTCCCGTGTGAAGCCGAGGAAGGGCCGGCTCATCGCTGTTCTGATAGAGAGCCTGTGGTGTACACACCGACCTTTTTCCCCAAAAGGGAACCACCATCGACAGTTTCCATCCTTTAGAACCCAGACCTCCCTGGAGTCCAGTTTCCGACCTCTCCTCTTTGGAGGCGGTGGAAGCTGCGAGAGGAACCGGGAGGCCTGGAGTGGGGGAGATGGAGGGCAGGGTGGATGCAGCCGCGCCCGCGCCTCGCCCCGCGCCAGGCTCCCGCCTCCGGCCCGTCGCTGAGCGAGCGTGCCCAGAGTGTGCCGGGCAACTCGGCGGGGCACGTGGTCCGGGCTCCGCGTCTTGGCGGCTGCCGCGAGGAAGGCAGACACGTGCTAGGGTGGGGGGGCTTCACCTGGCCACGAGGCCTGTCAATTGCGGGCGGGCCCGGTCCCCGTCCCCGACGGGCGATCTGGAGGGCGCGCATAGGCGGGAGCTCTGCGCCTCCCAGGAGGGAAGCCAAGCATTGGTCGCCCGGCCGATGCCGTCGGAGCGGTGGGCTCCAGACGCCAGCGCTTCGACCCCACGGGCCCCTCTCAACTTCGGGCCCGCAGATGCCAGCCCCCGTGGGCATGGGGCCTGGCACCCGGCACCCACGTCGAGGTGGCCGGGTGGGCGGCGCCCTGGCCGGTCCGACCTCCGCGAGGGGACTTGGGCAAGTCAGAGCCCCGCCCACCGCCCTGGCGGCACCGCCCACGTCTCGCCAAGGCCCCGCCCACCGGCCCAGGCCACACCCCTTCCTGCCGGCTGGCTCCTCCAGCCCACCCGCCCACCTCAGCCGGGAGCGGAGCCCACTGCTCCCCTCAGGCGCCCCGCCCCGCCGGCTTCCCCGCCTCTCCCGCGAGGGCGGTCTGAAAACCCGGAGCGCGGGAGTGCGGCTCCGCCGGCCCAGCGACCGCACTGAGCATGCCCAGTAGCCGGGGCAGGTTTTTTTTTTTTTTTTTGGTCGCAAGTAGGAAGATTTTTGCACTACACCGGAGAGGGGGAGCCACGGAGCCAGGCAGCCAGCCGCGCCGCCGCGTACCGCCGCTGCGCCTGCCCCAGCCCGGCCCGGCCCCGCGGCGGGCGCGATGAGCCCGAGCCCCAGCCGGCCTGCCGGGGAGTGAGCGCGGGGCGCGAGGGCGCGTTGCGCAGCTGCTCCTGCGCACAACCCCGCCGCGGCCGCCGGCCCGCACCGGCCGTGAGTGTGAGAGGCGCCTCCGGGGCACCGGCGCCGAGCGGAGCAGGAAGCGCAGGCCACGCAGGGACCCAACTGAAACAAAGTGTCGGCCGCCAGGCGGCGGCGCCTCGCCCCAACCCTGCCCCTCCCGCCTGCCCGCAACTCCACTGCCCACCATGGCTTCCGAGGAGCTGTACGAGGTATCTCCCCTCCCCCTCCCGGACCCTCGGGCCGCCCTCGCCCGCCACCCCGCGCCGCCCCTGCCCGGCCGCGTCCACTCCGACGGCCGGCTCTGCCACCGGTGCCCACCTCGCTGCCTGCCCCCTCCCCCCGGCAGCAGTTTGCTGGACGGGAAATGTGTGCGAGGGGAGTCGGAGCCACGCGTCGGGCGTGGGGGGGCCTCCCGGGAGTTGTCAGGCTCCTGGGGGTGGGGGGTCCTGGCCGTGGGGAAGTAGCGCGTGTTCGAGTGACTTGCTCAGACTGAGCCCAAAGTTCTTGGCGAGGGTGATTGGTGTGGAGCCCCCGTCACCGCCTGGTGGGAGCTGGAAGGGGTGCGGGGGTGTTTTTCCTGCCCCTTTAATAAAGCATCTTGGAGAGGGGTTTTGCCTCTGGCTGTGGGGGGCACGGGGAAGCGTGCCACTGTCTCAACTCTGCTGCTAGGCAAAGCGATGCAAAATATCGCACCGAAAATGCTAAACGTTGACCACATGCTTTAATTAGGTTAGCATTGTGGCCAGAGTCAGGAAATTTAAATTTAACGCTGATATACCATCATTCATTTGCGTCACAGCGTTGAAAGTAAGAAAGGGCACAATCAGAACTCTTTAGTTCTGGGCAGTTTTGTCAGCTTCAACTACAAGTTTTGGAGTTATCAGTTTGGATCTTCAGACATACTTTGTATACCTCGATGTAACTTCTTGACGTATTTCAAAGCAGACTTCCTGGGAGTACAGAAGCTTAGAAGACTTTCTGTTCCTTTGGATAAATGTCTTCAGTTTCGTATATATTTGTAAACATATATTCCTAAGAGACTTAAAACTTCTGGAACTCTCTGTATTCACCTTTGTGATGTGTTAGGGACCTGAATGTGTAGGGACTTAAGTCAGCGTCTCTAACAAGTAGAGCCCCTTGGCCCTTGTGAACCAACCCTTAATAAGTACCAGGTCTTAATAAGACACCCTCTGAGGTGTCTTCTCTTGTGGGCATATAATGTCACAGAATGAAGCTCTGTTGCCAACAGTGATAGCCTTCTAACAACTTTTTGTTTTTTGTTTAAAGCAAGTGTGCAAAAGTTTTTAGGAGGGGACTGCCTTCTGTAGAATTAATGGTGAGGTTGTTGTCAGTGTACCTTAGCTGGCACCTGAAAATGTTCCATTCTGTTCAACCACTTTATACAGTAGCAGTGCCCTACTGTATGCAAGAGACTATCTTGGATCATGTGGGTATGTAAAGGGAAAAAACACTCCTCGTCTCAAGCTTCCCTTCCAGGAAAGAAAGTGTTGTGTATGGGAAAATTCTAGAATTAGAGGCTAAGATGCAGATGATCTTCCAGGTTAAGACATACAGTTGGGAAAGTACACAGTATGAGGATGTGAGGGGTTTTGGTTTCTCCATTAGATTATTCTTTAATAGTTTAGCCTGAGTATTCTTCATTTTGTCATTATAAATGTACACCTAGCTCATTCCATTAGTGTTTGGTTGAAGGTGGCACCTTATACATAAGTTGTATCTTATGTGTATAAAAACGATCCTGAAAACAATACATTTACCACGAGTGTATAAGGAATTACATTTCATTTTTTCTTTGCTGCTTCTGTATATCTTCTACTCACTACTTTTCTGGCAGAATTTATTTATAAGTAAAATTTGTACAGTTTCTGTTCACTCAGCATGTTTATTAAATGCCTGTCACGAAGGTTTCATAGGAACAGGGGTATGAGAATGGTTCATACCCTCAAAAAACATCTATTGGGGAAGAAATAAGTGCATTGCAAAGGAATGATACACCTGTACAATTGAATTTTTGATTCTGGGTTTTGTTTTAGTTTTGAAAAGTTATAGGAGTATAGTTGAGGTGAAAGTAAGTAATATGGTGGGCAGTATCTTTTCATGTTACATTTTGTAAGTTTTCCTTTACTTGTAGGCAACACTGACCATATTATGATTGGAAGTTGATATTTGAAAGTTCAGCGTAGTGGTTGAGAGCCTGGATTTGGAGTCAGAACATAGTTACTGAATCCCAACCCTGTCACGTTGGGTAAATTAACCTTGAAGGTTTAGTTTCCTCATCTGTAAAATTGGAATCCATGTTTATCTCCCAGAGCTGTGAAGTTTAAATGAAAAAAATATGTAAAGCATGCCCCACAGTTCCCATAGGAAATACTCAGTAAGTGATGGTTATTATTTTAACTGATGTAACATGCATCCCTGAGTCCTGGTTTTTGTTTTCTGAAGATAGAATTGTATATTTTTAAATCAAGGCAGTATTATTTGTGAGGCAGAACTGATATGCAGTTGTAAATGAACACTACAGGCTGACAAGCTGTTTGACAAGGCTGGGGAGAGCACAAGGTACTTGAGTATCCAGTCATGGGACATTATTTGCCTAGTTTTGTCCAATTTTGCCTAAATCGAATAGAAGTTTCACGTTTGGCCTCAGACTCCACCATTCTAGAGGAATATATTGAGACAAAAGAGGAAGTTCAGTCTTGCTTTTTCAAGTAATGTGGTATGGTAAGAGCAGATCTGCAGTAGCTATGTGAACTTGGGCAAGTTAGTTACCTGATTGCTAAGCCTCTGTTTTCTCACCTAAGAAGAAATGAGATCTCTAACACTTAGAATGGTGCCTGGTATACGGTAATAGATTCTTAGTAAAGGTTATTGTAATTTAATGGTAATTGTAATTATGCTTTTTGAATAAAAAATAAGGTATCAGACCTAGATAAGATAGGGTGGAACATCAGCCGTCAGCCTTCCAAAATTGGAAGAGCTACTGTTAGTTGAAGGATACAGTAAATTTATTTCCTGTATCACCAGCAGCTAGGATTAGGGAAGGTAGAGTTTTGACTGACTCATGTTAAGAACTTAAGTAGCTTTCACAAAAAGACAAGCATCCTTTAGTTCTGGGGTCCACAAACGTTATGTAAAGGCCAGATAGTTAATGTTTTAAACCTTGCAGGCCAGGCAGTCTTTGTTTTAACTACTCAGCAAGTAGAAACAACACCTAAATGGATGAGCACTGTGTTCCAATAAAACTTAATGGATAGTAAAATTCGAATTTCATGTAATTTTTACATGTCATGAAATATTCTTTTAAAAAATAATTTAAAAATGTAAACATTCTAAATGCATGGGTTCTACAGAAACAGGCAATGGACTAGATTTGGCCTCCATGTCTTAGTCTGACTTCTGCTTTAGATGATCTGTTCTGGAGCTCAGGTTTACTCTGGGGTTGGGACATATGGAGGGTGAAGTGTGGAGTATATAAAGACTTTCTGCTCCAAGCCCAGCTCTAGATTTAGAGCCAGAAGTTCTGAGTTGCACTCTTTCCTTCAATATGTGGACCAAATAAGGAGTTGACCCTTTATAACATGAAGAAGCGTTCTCTTTATTGTGTATCTTAATTCCTTTTTTCCCAGTGGTTGTGGGGTTTTCCTTGAGAACTATTATAATAGCTAATTTAAATTTCAGGACAATCTCAGTGATCTAGTCTTGGCCTTTTGAGAAAACATTTATCCAACACATGAATGTTTCAGTCAATCAAAAATGGAAATAACCTTTTAAGAATGAAATTATACCTGCCTTATTTAAAAATTGTCTTAAAGCTGATTAGTGTGGAAAAATAATCAGGATTTGGGGGAAAGGGAAGTCTTTTGAACCTCCTAAGTTTGGGATAAGATTGCTCCTTTTATATACATTGACAAAAAGCACAATTATAAATAAAATCTGCATGTGTAGTTCAAATGAAAGTGACAAAGATCAGGAGACCTATGATGTTGGTTAAGATAAACCAGCATCTGTTGTGTGTGGTGTAAGCTAGCTCTTAAAAGATTGAGATGGCCAAAATTAGAAAAGGAAGAGAGTTATTTGACTTCTGAAATTGATTGAGGGGCAGTAAAGGCAAATGTGTGTGTATTTTGAAAGTTAACACACTATCTTAGCCCAGCTAGTGTGGCTCAGCGGTTGAGTGTTGTCCTATGCACCAGGCAGTCACAGTTTGATTCTGATTGAAGGACATGCCCAGGTTGCAGGCTCAGTGGAGGCCATGCAGGAAGCAGCCGATCAATGGTTCTCTCTCATCATTGGTATTTCTCTCTCTGTCTCCCACTCCCTTCCTCTATGATGTATACGTATCTATAATAATAAAAGCGTAATACGCTTATTAGACTGGACGAAGCCAGGCTGTGAGGGAAGCCCGGGTCCCAGGTGCTGGAGGGAAGCTGGTGCCGGCAGCTGGAGGAAGGAAGACCTACTCTTGCATGAATTTCGTGCATCAGGCCTCTAGTATATATATAAAAGAAAGAAAATTAACACACTATCTTAAATGTGAACTATTGAGAATATTTATTCATTTGCCTAAACACATCTCCTGTGCTTTTCCTTTGAATTTGCTTTTAATTCTTGTATTCTAAAATGGTAAGTCTTTTTCTGTTGTTGCTGTGATATCTAAGAATCATTGAATTTTTCCATATGCTCTATAATGATTTTAACCACTGAATATATTTTCATGGTATATAGGAAATACTTTATTTGCAGCATTTTGATTTACAGTTTTGAATATCAATGATGCACAAAGCCAATATGAGTTAAATTTCAGTGAATAAGGAGTAATAGTTTTATATTGTGTGTGTTTACAGATATAACAGTGCTATCTGGGATACTTTTAAAATACAGATTCTTTGGGTCAGACCATGAGATCGTAGTTTTCAATGTTTGGATGGAGACAGGAATCTATGTTCCATAAGCTTCTTTCTGGAATGCAGGTAGATTTAGGAGCCTCTGGATTGCAGTGGTCTGTATTTCTGACACTGAGGCTGCAAGTTGAGGTCAGGAGGTATTGGGATCTGCCTTTGCAGAAGAGGCGCTTTAGGTGCACCAGACTAATCCTTTTTGTAGGTCCTTTAATTATTGTCGGTTATTAATTGAGTCACTCCAGGAAGGGAGTATTAAAAACACTAGGTAGCCCTGCCTGCTGTGGCTC